GCTTTGCTGCCCCAGTAAAGTAAACAAAAACTTCTAACTTTTGGCTTTACCACTTGGTAGATCATACTCTGAAATATGGCAGAGCTTTACTGCCCTTCTGCCAGTTTGGAAAAGACAGGAACTAAATAAGTGTCTCTATAGTCATGTACAGCAAGAATCAGAAAATAGGTTTTGCACTGAAAGCAAACACTTACCAGCAAAACCTTGCTGTTTCTCAGTACCCATCTCCATTTCCTTCATTGCAAGTAAAAACTGCAAAAAAAAAAATTACACTATCTAACCCCAGCTATATCTAATGCTCTGTAACTCTTGCATGTTGGTTTTAGGACTCAAATTTCTAAGCCCCTTCAAATACAAACGTTTACAAATGGTTTAATGAACTGTCAGAATTTACAGCTCCCTTGGAAAATGTGCAAGGCAGCAATGGCTTTCCTTTGCCAGCCAAAAGAGATCTCAGCAAGCCTGTGCACTGTAGATTCAGCAAAATGATTCACCTGAAACTTAACCAGAGAGAAAAGCAGTTTGTTTGCTTTAAGCTTGTAAATTTCTGTAGTGAAAAGCTCAAGCGTAAGGCATTAACATTTGTGAAACTGAACCTCATGATTGTCCTGGACCTAAATCAAGCAGCTGTAAACGGCTATTTTTAACTCTGAAAATTAATCCACATCGTCTTTACTGTCACAAAAGAGTGGCCTGACTGCCACCCGGGCAAGCAGAAGAAAATAGGAGGTTGAGTGTTTTAACTTGCTGGCAAAACTTCCATTTAATTAGTAATACATTGATAGCATGCGATCTACTAAGCCACAGTTCAGTTTTGTACACTTTATGGACAGGTAGGATAAGCTCTGATTTTACGAAAAACAAAAAATTAAAAAATAAAAGCAACAGTGCAGAAAGCAGTATTATCAAATGGAGTTCAGGAAAGAAAGCTTTAATAAGATAAATACCAAAAGTGGTAATTCAGCTTCTTAAACTCCATAGAAAATAGTGATTTTGAAAATACCTCACAATTCTTTCAAACATATAAGCTACCATTAAAAATTCTCACTTTATAATATTCAAAACAGCCTCTTTCACTTCTAAGTAAGAACGACACAGTTAAACTATATAAATTCTCTAAAGCATTGTTTATTTGAACTCAGTTGCTGCTGTCTTTGAACCAAAAGTTTGGCCCAAATTCCCTGAGCTACAACGTCAGCGCAGCCTAACACATCATTCTCGCTGGAGTTACTCACGGATCTACACTGCTGCGAGGGTACAGCGTGATCCTTCTCCGTGTTTATCCTTCATACGCCAGTCTGGAGTGCCACATGGATATAACGTGCCGGATCGACAGCCACCAGAACCCGTAGCGTAATTAGCGCAAAAAATAAGACAGAACGCACTTTGCCACAACACCGAATTAACAACCCCCGCCCCGTAATGTCATGTATCGTGCAAAAGCCAGGAGTTCTATATGTACTTATATAGCTCTCGTTGTAGAAAGGGGAGGCGAGCCGTAGGTCGCGGACGGTACCGGGGGCTACAGGCAGCACATCCCACTGTGTGCCCCCGGCAATGTGCACCTCTCACCGCCGGCCGCAGGGACCTCCCCGGGTCCGGCGGGCTGCAGCCCCCGGGGGCTCTCCGCAGCTGCATCCTCCGGCCACGGGCAGCGGCTGAGGGGCTGCGCGCCCGCCCCTAGCCACGCTGAGAAACCCATCGGGAGGGGAGCGCGGGGAACTAACAATACAAGTGGCCTCAGCGCTGCTCAAGGCTACAGAAACGCGAAGCTGCTCCCCAGGCAACTGGCGGGGAGCCGGGGCGGCCCGCACCGCCCGGCCGGCGGCT